ACCCCGCACAACATGATCTACTCGACCACCATTATGGATACCGCAAAAAAAAAAAAAACGGAGGTAAAATAAAAAAACCCGGCAACCTGGTTGCCGAGTTCACGAAGTGAATTGGCTTGTTTTACAACGTCTTTGCCAAGCGACGAAAACCCAATCCCGATGGCAAACACGGGGGGGGGCGTAAACACCGGGGGAGGTGTTATTCACCACCAGCAGCTTAAAAAAAATATACATTTCCTCCTCTGGTTCGAGCTTTTATCCGGCTACTCAATAGCGTGTGATGGGTAACCAGACTACTGTAGCACGGAAGGCACAGGTAGCAAGGCCCTTAGACGAGAGGTTTGCAGCAGTTCATGCAACATCAATGGTGGTGTCTAGCAGCGTGTGTTGTTGTGCCTCTCTCTGTCCTCGCTCTCGCTTGCTGATGATGACAACAACCAAACGCACACCACCAACACAACCAAACGCTTTCTTTTCTCTCCTCTCGCTTACTCCACCGATAGCTAATAGCAACATAGGGCACACCCTCCCGCCTCGCTCTCCCGGCGGTGTGTGTGTGTCTCCCGCCCCCTTGCCCATGTTTTTTTTATCGTTTTTTGTCAGTATGACCCGACGAATGCATCTTCTTCTAGATATCTCTATCTAGACTAGAGGTAATAAAATAGTCTTGTCCAAGATAGAATCCATCGCGTCAGCGAAAATTCTATTTTCCCTGTCTCGCCTGTGTGTGTGTTTGTCTTGCGCCAGTAGCAGCTGCTGGGCACAGACAGCAGCAGCAGCAGCAGCAGCAGCAGCAGCAGCAGAAGCAGCAGCAGCGCAAAACAAAACAAATCACGCCTGCCTCGGTTGGTCTTGGGCGGGGACGCTCGCTGCCCGACTTTATTTGACTTTATATCGGCACAGATGCTGTCCTAGGATAGTATCTAAACGTCCCGACCACGGATTGAAAAGGTAGCCGTTGGGACAGAATATTACTTGTTGTGGGCAAGTTTCAGTTTGCAATTTGGTGCCTAGATGGTGAAATGGGCCCAAGTCTGCTGCGTACTTATCGAGAGTGGTCACATACGGATGACTATCGTGTATTTTGCCCCCCTTCATTGCCCCCACCCCGGTGTTTGCCTTCGGGGTTGGGGGTTTCGTCGCTTGGTAACGACGTTGTAAAACATGCCACCCCCCCCGCCCGGTGTTAGCCGTTGGGGTTGGGTTTTCGTCGCCTGGCAGTGATGTTGTACAACAAGCCGATCACTTCGTGAGCTCGGCAACCAGGTTACCGCTTTTTTTTGCGTTTTGTTTTTTGGCGGTAATCATATTGAATGGTGGTCGAGTGGATCATGTTGTGCGGGGTCGAGAACCCTCACTCCGCGCAAAGGGGATAATCGCACCACGTTTGGTTAAATTGGTCAAGTACCCTCGAGGCAGTTACAAAGTGCTAACAACTGTCTCTGGAAGTGAAAGCACCAAAAAATATATGAAGTCATACGCAGCTGTCATCCGTATGCAAGGAAGTAAGCACAAGATGCCGAGCACCCTTAGCAGGATGCAGCGCACCCTTCATGCGACTCGCCG